ATTTTTAATTGTTGTCGTAAAACGACAACAACATCGAATGACGACGACGACGATGATGAAGATTTAAAAGAACGAAATTTTGAACGACAAGAATCAATTGATGGTGGTGGTTGTACAATCAAAGATATGATTGTCGTCTATTCAACGCTTAAATGTGAGTTATTTGTTTTTGGAAAAGTTTTTTTGATTGTAAAAATGAATTTTTCTCAATCGAATTTAAAGATTATCTATCGGTGCGTGATGAAGAACAAGGAACATTTTTTGTTGATTGTTTAGTCAAATCATTACAAGAATATAAAGAATCAAATTTGGATAAAATTATTGAAAAAGCAACCGATTTATTAAATGAAAAAGTTACGGATATTTCGAATCAAATTGAACGACGACAGGCGATCGAAATATCGAAAAGAGGTGTTGATAAAGCTGTTTATTTTCGAAATTCATCCAGAGAAAAAATTTGATTTTTTTGAAAATTTTTGTAAAACTTTTGACAAACAAGACAACCATGTAATTTTTTTTTAATCAATGTTACCCAAGAGATACTTGTCGCCTGTTTCAATCATTAATTTAAAATTCAAAAAAAAATCTGATCTTGAAATTCATTCGATTTTTGGTGTTTGTTTACCACCAACAACAAAAACTCACCGATCATGGCCAAAATCATCGCAATCTTTTTGATTATTTTTTTCGAAAATCTTTTCGAAACTCAACAACAACAAACAAGAAAAATATGGCTGGCTGATTCAATTGATTTTCCATTTATGATTGTGTTGAAATTTCGTTCAACAGAAAATCAAAATAAAAGTTTTGTCCAAGAACCATTTTGTGCCGGTTCATTGCTGAATCATCAATGGATAATGACAGCAGCAACTTGTGCATCAAAAATTGATTCGAATAACCGACAACAACAACAACAACAATCATCGGATTTAAAACCAGCCAAAGCTATAATCGGCTCATATCGTAATATATCATTCGTTCGATTAACATCGATCGATATCGACAAAGTAATCGTTCATCCATCATATGATTCACGTACAATGGTAAATAATATTGGTTTATTACATTTGAAAAATTTGGCCAATGTTCGTAAAGATCAGGATTTTCGTTATGAATGGGATGATCAAATGACTGTTGAACAATTATACGATACAATCATGATGACAAGATTAAAATTAATGTTTACATATTTGATGAATGGTAAAGAAATCCCAGATGATCAATGTAAACAAATTTATCAAAAATTAAATGTAAATTTACCAAATAATAGTTTATGTTATCAGGCAAAAGATCCTATTCGTTTTCATTCGAATTTAGCTGGTGGACCATTAGTCTATGTAAATCGTCAACGAATACCAATACCATTAGGTATTTTATCATTTGGTTTGCAAACACCAGATCCAATGGTTTATACCGCTATTAAACCATATTATGATTGGATTCTTACACAAATAAATTAATTTTGATTTTGATTTTGAAAATTTTCAAAATATTTTCAAAATCAAAATCAATAAAATATTGGCTGATTTATACGTTGATGGTTACTGTTTTTTGAAGTACTTTTTTCCTATAAATTATTATTCACACAAAAAAAAATGTGATGAGTTTTTCTTTCTTTTTTTATTCGATCGTTCGATATCGAATTAGACTTCGTGTAATTTTTTTTCATTTCAAATTCTGCAAATTCAAAACCAAAATTCATCTGATAAAATTCTGTTTGTCGTTTTCGTTTTTCGTTTTTTTGTTCAAACTTGATTTCATTAAAATAAAGATTTTCAAAACTAAATCAAATTAATTTCGAACGTTTATGTGTGTGTGTTTAGTCGGCGTTTTTTTTCTCATTGAAAATGAATTTCTAAACTGAAACAAAAAAACACCATCGTCATTATCATTCGTTAAATATCTTTGAAAAAAATCGATGTCGTGAATGAGATTGTTAAAATGTAATTCCTATTTGTAATTCTTGCTCATCATCATCATCATCATTCGAATCATGTAAATGTTGTTTGTTCTAACATTGGA